AAAGGAGGTAAGTTGTTTCTACTTATCTTACTTTATATTATTCTAATATTTATAGCTTTATATACAAGCTCCAGAGAACAGACAAAGTCTTACAGTTATAGAGACAATTTCAGCTGCTGGCATTGCACTTCCACCGTTCCTTATTATACAAGGAAAATTACACATGGAAAGTTGGTACCATGACAATCTACACGGTGATGAGAAAGTTGCAGTATCCGATTCCGGATATACAAACTCTGAGCTTGCAATGGAATATCTACAGCATTTTATTCAACATACACCGTCTATAAGAACGAAATTGTTAATAATGGACTCTCATGTCTCACATGAAGTTCCAGAGTTTATAATACTTGCACATCAACACAATATACACTTACATGTGTTTTCGTCTCATCTTACGCATATTCTACAACCGCTAGATGTTACTGTGTTTGCACAATATAAACATTGGCACCGACGTGCAATTCAACAAGCAATCCGGAATTTTGATACAGATTATAATGTTATATCTTTCTTTAGAGACTTGTCTACTATCCGTAAGCAGACATTTACAAAGGGTAACTGTATCAAGTCTTTTAGAGATGCAGGTATTTGGCCACCTAACTATGAAAAGATTCAAGAGAAGGTTGCTATATATGCAAAACCAGAAGTTTTAGAAACACCACAACGCGCATTTCAAGCAAGTTATGATCTTTCAACATGGAGTCAAACATTTGATAAGATCCTTAGTTCACCGTCACGGCAAAAGTGGGCGTCTTCTTATACTGAAATCCAAACTCAGTTAACAGAGGCTGAGCTGTTCCAGTCAGAGCTTGTACAAATTACTACTATTATGACTGAGCAACGACAGCGGAAGGTTAGAAGTCGGAAATCTATTCAAAAAGGTGGTGCTATTACAGTTGAACATGCACGGCAAAGGATTTATGAGAAGAAGGTAAAGGAGCAACTTTTAGAAGAAGCACGGGAGAAAAGAGAGAGAACACGCATGGTGAACGTTGAGCGTAAGATGCAGCTCCGTGCTGGCATCGATGCACGGAAGGCAGAACGTACACGGAAAAAGGACCTACATGAATTTCAAAAAAGTAACCCAGACACGGAGCCACCAATTGGCTTACGTACAGAAATCATTGACCCGGACGTTACACAGAAGAAACGTGAGGAGGAGGAGGAGGCGGACCGACTGTTAGCCATCGAGGAGAGTGGGTACGTGAACTTTGCAGGCTTGGACTACGACATGATTCACGATGCAAGTGACGGTGGCTGTGATGATCAATCACTGCCTGACAATATTGATCCAAATCTTTTTTAATTATTTAATTCTATAACTTATATATATTTACAGCATTGTTACGTTGTCAGTCGTGTTCATGGTCGGTCGTGTCGCGTCGCGAGTCCGCTCCCGAAGTGTCCCACAATCGCTTTCGCGTCCCAGTTCGCTTTCGCCAACCGCCTCCAGGCGGTGGTTTGAGAACCAACGATTATACAGTCAACTCCCGTTAAGTCGATACAATTGGTGACACGTGTAAATATCGTAAAAGTGAAAATATCGTTATATTGAAATGCCAAGTATTATGTAATCCACCTATCTAATGTCTCCTAAACAGTCCGTCCGTATGGATAGTACACATCTTTGTAGGGAGATTTGCCGTACTCATTAGGCTCTTAAATCGTACACCCGCACTTAAGCCACAGGCAGTGCAAGCGAGCCAAGTTTTCGAGATGGTACTGTCGCGACAAGCTTTTACAGAACGATAAACTTCTACAATTGTGAGCCCTAGTGTCCATACGGAATTCCGCTTTTTTATCGCCGCCGTCATCACCACGAGAAGCGCGCATGTAATACCCGGCTGAAGCGCGAAGATATATAGAGTGGCGCGGTGAGAGTATGATAACTGGGCGAAGACCTTAATAGCGGCTCAGACGATGGCGGCGGATGGCGGTAACGGCACATCAGAGGCTGGTCTCTATCTCCATTTGCCAGTCTGTACAATTGAGTGTTTCGAGCTCGTACTATATTTGGACTTTCTGGATTACTGAGGCTCGCTGTCCTGTCGCGTTACCTGGTTAAGCGCCCAACAACACCCTAGCAATACGGAGATTGCAGCGCCAATGTTTTGCACGGCGCTTTCGCAAAGTCCACACTGAAATATGTATTCTGCCAAGCAATATTCCGCTATGGCGTGTGGGTATTGGGCGTGTCAGCGGACTGCTAAGGCGGTGTACGCCCTTGTCCTCCGTATGCACGCAGTAGGCAAACCTCGAACTCCAACATATCCAACATAATAAGATTGCTTTTCCATGTTATGTCTTAAAATAGCAGAATCGCACAAGTATCGCCTAGTAAGCCTCATTCTTCCTTTTCCTGCTTTCTCCTCTCTTGCATCCATATTTGTGCGTCATGCTCTTGAAGTTGTAGTGTTGATCGCCCAACACTGCCAGTTTCAGAGGTTTCCTACGTTCCTGTTGTCTGTAACACTGGAACATTGTTATCATGTCCTCACATATTTCCAAGGCAATTATAATAGCCATAATTTTCTGCCGGAAATCTGCAGCACTCCCAGGTCAGACTCAAATCATACCTTGGTCATCAAATAGCTATGGTCCAGATGGGCCATGGCAGGCCGTTAATATTCGCATCGGTACACCATTACAGTCCATCGACCTTCTCCCTGGCGGATCTTGGATGTCGAATGTGCTAGCATCTTCACTTTGCGCAACTAGTTCATCATGTATTGCACAATCAGCAGGTGTATACGATAATTCAAGCTCATCAACAAACTTCGAAATTGGGCAAACAGGTTCCATAGAAAACTCAACCTTCTCTCATACTGTTGGAGCTCTACCGACAATATTTGGGTCTGCTCACTGGATGTTCGATACAGCGGCTGTGCCGGTCAGGGAGGGAGCTTCTGGGGATTCGTTCACTGCGATTATTCAAGATTTCGACATGTTAGTTGTTTCAGACGGTCACGAAACACTGCCAGACGGATCGACATATCCCTTAACAATCGGAAAATTAGCCTTGGGAGCACCTGAGTTCAATCAATCATGGAACCATTTCCCTCCGAATCCTCGATGGAACGGCACATTCATAACAAGTAGTATGTTCGGAGAAGGTCGGACTCCATCAAACTCCTATGGAATGCATATTGGCTCTGCAGCCTTTGGGATCCCTGGATCCTTGACTATCGGTGGGTATGACCAAAGTCGAGTCCTTAGCCCAGTCTCGAGTCAACCATATGCTATTGATCACCTGCCAATTGACCTCTTGGATATTGGTATCGGCGTTGAAGATGGAGCGTCGCCTTTCGACTTTTCGTCCCAAGCATGTCTGCTTGCGTCTGGAAACTCGTCAATAAGAAACTCGATGCAAGTAGCAGTGGATGCTACTGTTCCTTATCTTTACTTGCCCCAAAGTACTTGTGATTCTATTACGAAGAATCTTCCAGTGACTTTTCAACCCAAGTATGGGCTTTACTTCTGGAATACAGCCGATCCGCAATATAAGATGATCGTCTCCTCGCCATCATATCTGAGCTTCACATTTCGTCTCAGCAGCTCTGTCTCACAGAATATAACAATCAAGGTCCCCTTTTCTCTTCTCAACCTCACCTTGACATCTCCAATAATAAGCACGCCTACGCTGTATTTTCCTTGCTTCCCTGGACTGGCCCCGCGCGGCATATTTTCTCTGGGCCGTTCATTCCTACAAGCTGCATTTATAGGGGTTAATTGGCAGACAGGTAAAGGAGTCTGGTATCTTGCGCAGGCTCCTGGGCCTAATACTCGACAACTATAGCTCCGACCGCAATTCAACCTACGGACAACTCAATTATATCTTCTACAACGGACTGGGCGGACACATGGAGTGGGTTTTGGACAATCTTGGATAATCCCACCTCAGCAAACACCAGCACTGTACCCTCCGGCAATACGGCCCAGTCTGGAGGTAAACTCTCAAAAGCGGTGATTGGGAGTATTTGTGCAGCGGCGGCAGCTTGTTTGATCGCAGTCCTCGTCGCAGGGTACCTATTATACAAGCGACGTAAAGGGAAGCCTGCAGAGCCAAATCCTACTTCAGCAGCACATCATCATGTACAGAGCCAGGAAATGTCTCCAGAGAGCGAGAAGTATACAAGCTCTGTGTTTGGGCCGCAAGAGTTATTTACAGAGCGTGCGCCTAGGGAAATGTATGCTCAGACGGGAATGAGCAGTCCAGTGGAGATGTATGCTCCAGTAAGAAGATAATAAGTTGTCCAATAATAAGTGCGAAGCGCATATTTGGCTGCGATGAAATGCAGTTGCAGATAAATATATATCTATAATTATTTATCAACAGCGTTCATTTGACCATAGCTGCCCTGTAGCACAGAGGGATATAAGTCTTACCCTATGTCCGCCATTGACTGGACAACCTTACCTTTTCGCTTGTGTCTCTGCCACTTACAGGGACTTGTTTGTGTATGTGGAAAACGTCACCGACATTTAAGTTGTTGAGGAGTTGTACGTCGTACTATCTTCAGCCGCAAGTCTCGATTGAGCTAAAGCGGGATGCATTGATACAAGGTGAATCCCCAGTCCATCTGATAGACACCATGTACCTCATCGATTATTTTCTTGAACCTCAGCCTCTACAAATTGAGCATTTCTTTGAGGCTGTTCGCATATATTTCGTAGTCCGTACCAAGACAGGCGCTTGTGAACTAGCTCTCGGCCTCGGATTTGCGGAAAGGGGGAGAGTGGGCGGGGAGGACCGGAACGGGAGCCGGCGAAGCGACGTGCTTCACAGCCCGATGTGGTCCCCACAAAGCAAAGCGTGCGCCACGCTGCATATCCTCGCGGCAAACAAAACACAAAAACACAGGCGACAGGGCGATGATGCACCACCAACAACACAGAATGTATCAGTCCACGCTCATTCCTTTTCTTTATCGTCTTTGAGTTATTTGCGAACGTCTTGATGTTTATTACTGCCGATTTGTTTTAGATATCCAACAGCCATGATCCAGCTGCCTCGAGGTGTTCGTCGAATACATATCGCCCTTGTCTCCTGGCTGCTTATTGCAGTTTGGATTTGGCTCGCATTTGATCAGCTATACTATTTTCTTGATCGCACTCCTTGGAACATATTCTCAAGCGAACCTCACTCTTTCCTACGAAATCCGACTACTAGCGATGCCTTCGACTTTGCGCCGATCGAATCCGAGGCAATCAAGAGCATCTGCGCGGATACAGAATGGAAGGAAAACATCGTGTTCACCTGCAACGACAGTGTGGGAGGCATTGGCAACATCCGCAACTCGATCTTGAATTGCGTTCGCTACTCCATTTTGGCAGGAGGTTCCCTCGTGGAGCCCAAGATCGTGCTCCGCAACGAGTCAGACACTGCAGCAATACGCACAGGGATAGGGGCTGAGTTCGAATATATGTTTGATCGGCAGCACTTTCGCGAGTCCCTCATGCTCTCCTGCCCCGGGCTTCGTCTATACGATACAGTTGAGGATATCAAAGGGAAGACATTCCACGAGCCGATAGCACTGCACCCCGAGTCGCTCGCACCTGATGAAAAATTGGAACCTGAAAAATGGAGGGGTCTATTCTATAACTGGCTTGGGAACATATCAGTGATATGTTTGACAACACTGTGGTCATCAAACTTGAGAGATCGTACTTGTCATATCCTATATACACCGACGGCGATGGCTTTGCGACGAGTTTTGGGAAGATCCTCAAATTCCGCGCTGACATCAGCATTCTAGCGACAAAGACTCTATTAAAGCTTGCTGAGAGATATTCCTATGATATCGATCTTCTTAAACCCATTCTTCCTAATTTCTTCCTTGGTGTTCACCTTCGCACCGAATATGACTCGCAGCAGGGTTGGCCGGTTGGCGACTGGGTATACAGCCGATATGAGACGCAGTCAAGACTATATTTGGAGCAAGCAAATTCCTCGAGCACATCTCATATCTATGTGGCATCTGGGGACCAAGAAGAAGTCGCGAAGTTTAAAGTTGATGCGGCAGCATCTAATATCACAGTCACGACGAAGTTTGATTTACTGGACGAAACGGACAAAGCGACGCTAAAGATGTTGTCTTGGGATCAGCAGGGCATGGTGGATTTTCAAGTCATGACAAAAGCATCGGCTTTTGGAGGCATTGGGCACTCGAGTTTTGCGTGGAATATCGCTTTACTTAGGCATAAGTATGCCGAGAGGAAGGACCACTTGAGCGGGCCCCAGCTATTAAGTGATGAGCTGAGCCAGATCTATGGGAAACCTTACCAATACCCAGAGTACGCGAGATGTTTATGGCCTTAAAATGTTGGGAATCTATAGAAATCAAGGGTCTTGGACGAACTGTGCTACGGAATTTAAACCCAGTAAGCCCAACACGAAGTTGTTATGGATTCATCAGTCTTCCGATGTGCGTGTCACTTGGATACAGGCAGCGTATAGAGAATATGGTATATATAATATTGCAGTATTTCATTCAGATCCAGCCGCCTACAGTCTGGGTTATTTCATGAAATGAGGACTTGGCGATTAGTTATATAGACTAGTAGATAATGCAATAATTTTCTTGCCTGATTAGATTGTTACTGGTTGAGGGCGCCGCTGTGCACCTGCAACCTTTGGAGCTAGATGCAGTAGTTTCCTGAGGTAGTAAATATATTACCCGTACTGAGAGAAGCTCAGTTGGTGATTATAAGCTGGTTTAAATACATGGAGCCGATGGGGCTGATGTGTTGGCAGGCACGCAGGCTTCCTTTCAAAACAGAGAAGCCGAATGCTGTTGAGCATGTAGGCTTCCATTCAAACAGAGAAGGCAAACGTAGGTTCCAGAGTCTCCTAAACCAACAGATGCTCCGAACCACTTATTAGCCTTGAGTTACGCGTCCTCGTATCGACATCCAACTCTTTTCTAGGCAACTGAGCTCTAAAATGTCGCTGCTTTCCAAGATCAAGAAAGGAGGAATCAGGAAATGGTAAACCAGCATTCGGGACCTTAAGACGAGCTGGCATCGATGGGTTAATACCACTAAATCACTGTGCCGGATTCTTGTTATTCAATAACCGTATTCCGTTCTATGTTAGCGGGCCCGGCTGCTTTTACCACCACGTTTTTCGGTTTTCACGACCGCTTCTTGTTTCTCGTTCCCCATTTCTGCAGCATCCAACACAACATTTAGTTTCTGGTTTCTAGTCCCTGGACTGTTGGGCGTCCCTGGTGGGTTTCCGATTCTGGGATTTATCGCAAGATCTCGAAGTGCTCATTCATTACCTGTGGGTAGGCTGCGCACTACTCGCTCAATACTCGGCTCACTCGCTCAGTGGGTTACTCAGCTGGGTGAGTAGCTGAACCTTTTACTCGACTCGGTGAGTGAGGTCAATACTCAGTTACTCTGTAAAAACCCGGTGAGTACTCGGCTATCACGTGTAAGATTTATGCATCATGTGAACAGTCCCTCATACGATTAATACTGTTTTATGGTTAAGTTAAAGTATTACATCTAT